GCTGTGTCCAGATTGCTCAGTGGGCAGTTGAAAGGCATGGCCTTCGAATCCGGCCGTAAGGTTTTCCAGACTTGTTCCAAGTGTCACCTATTGCTGGCTTCCCTTGAACATATCCTCGATTGCTTGGGGTTATCTTTGGAAGATGTCCATGCGAGTCCACTTCTGGTGCTGGACTTTGCTAGGGTTAATGGTCTCATGGAGCTGATCTAGCTGCCGCTAGATCCTGAAGGATTGGACACAACAACATATATATTTTTTTTATTTTTAAAAAATTAACCCGTTCGAAGAACAGGCACTTCAACTAATGTTAAAATAAAAAATACAATATAAATAACTATTTTGCACGTTTATTATTTTTTCTAACATGTTTTAATAATTATTTCTTGTCATCATGCTGAAGTTTTAATTACAATGAAGTAACTATTTTACACGTTTATTGCTTTCTTATATATTAATGTGTTTTATTACTTATTTTAATCCTTATGCAGAGCATTATCACATGTTTTTCTATGTGTTTTCTTTCTTCCTTTTTTTTGAGGGAGGGAAACATTTCAACGATTATAATGTTTATGTTATCAGTGGCGTACACAGGGTGGAGTTTAAAGGTTGAGTCATAGTCACGAACTCGAAGTCGATGTTGTCATGTTGTAAATTGCTAATCTGATGCCACTGAGAATACCATAATTTAAAATTGTGGGGTTCTTCACTAATAGCTTAAGTATAGCTTCACCACACGACGTCATAAACAACCTGAAAAAGAGTACAGTAATAATCCTCCATTCCTCCATTTATGCGAGTAGTAGATTCCACCGAAACAATTCGATATGAAATAATGGAAAACTGTCTAAGCCACATTTCCTTATACGTTTGTAGCTTTTTTAGTGGGGTAAAAGCATCTTCAATAAATTAATTTCAAAAACTTTACCTTCGAGCAATATTATTGATTTTCTCTCTTCTTCCTAAATGCTGCGCAATTCTAAATTCGATTTTTAGCAGTCCGTGTTATCATTTTTATTTTTTAATTTCATTTATATCACTCTTTTCTTATCTCATTATTTACTGATTTCCGCAAATGTTTTACTACACTACAAATGCCCATTTAGCAATTTCAAATAAATCTGAGGGATTACAAAATAAAAAGTACACTGAAATACCTCAGAATATGTATACACGCACAAAGGCATGGTAGTAGCATCTGCCTCGGGTAACTCATGCGAGTTTAAATGAAGAGATTTTAATTAATGCCGCTATTTGAATAATGTTTTAAATAGGATTTTTTCCTAAGTGTTTTAAGGTGACTACGTTCGGAACCGTGATTTTAAAAAAGCGTATAAATGGATAATTTTTTGATATTTAGTGTCAGTTGAATTGGAATATACATATAAAATTAGATTAAGAATATTATTACGAGAAACAAATATTTAAATGCAATTTTTGGCAAAAAAAGGAAGAAAAAATGACATATTTTCAGAACATTGAACATTTTCAGAACATGAAAAATGCTTCGTTAACGAAGTTGAACTAAAATTTTTGAAATATGTAATTTAGAAACGGATTTATTCATATTTCATTACATCAGAGTAAATAAATCAAAACAAAAAACACGCGTCATTATTTTAATGGATCATAACACTAAAAAATAATGTGAATTTTTCAAAATTCCTAACTGTATACAGGTAAATTATTATTATTATAAAAGCCTTTTTCATAACAGGAAAAAGTTTTGACAATATCAATTTTTCTTCGTTTTTTGCTGAAAAATTCCATTGAAATAACTTTGCTTATTTTAATATTTTTAAAACACCTTTTTTATGCATATTCTAATCAACTATAACTAAATGTCTGAAAAATTATTCATTTATGCGCTTTTTTAAAATTACTGTTCCGAACGTAGTCACCTTAAACACGTCCGTATTAAATTTAAAGCTAAAATATTCAGAGATAAAATAAAAAGTTAGTGACAAAAATTCAAAATATATGTTTTTTGAGCAATTTATTTTCATTCGAAAGGACTAGAAAGTCTCGCATATATTCCACTAACCTTGCTCTAAAATCATCCTTTTATTAATCAAGTAGGCAAATATCTTACATCTATCATCGACAAACGATACAAAAAAAAGTAGGTCGTGAAATAATTTCGAAAAATCCGGTTTGTCTTACCCAAATCAATCATCTCTTAACCCAAGATATGATCTAACTTAAAATGAATCGACAAAATGATTTCGACAATAAAGATTTTAACGAAATTCTATAACAAAATGAATAAATGTAATACTATATAACCGAAGATGCCCTGCCTGATAAATTTTAAGCGACACGCATTTCAAATTAGCTAATTAATATCTATCAAATCAAAGAACCTTCAGTGCTAAAAAAGTGTTAATAGATATATTTCACAACTGACACACACACGCGCGTGTTCACCAGGCTTGAAATCATCTGTTGATCGTGCAAACCGCCGATCTCCGTGATCTGCAAATTAATTCTGGAATCAAGGTCAGAGATGTTCTTTAGTGTCGCATTACGGATTCTGAGAACTACTGCTAGCTCGTTTTTTAAGAATGTCATTTTCATCGATTTAAAAAATGTACTTCGATTATATTCATAACAAGTTTTGACGTTGAATGTATTATTATTGAGATTTATTTGGTCATTTAAAATATATAAATGTATAAAAATGAGATTATCTTTAAAGAAAGGAGTTTTGTTGTTGTTGTTCGAATGGAATAAAACTAAGCATTGTTTTTATCCTTAGATCTATGCAATATATTAATTTACATGTTAGCAAAAGAAAAAGAAAATTCCCTTTTAAAAATTATGGTAATTAAGATAAAATTAAACATACTTTTAAACAATTATAAAAGGGCTGTTTTTCCGAATATAAGCCATTCCATGTATAAGCCGAGAAAGTTGTTTTCTTCAAAAACTTACCCAAAATGCAAAACCCATATATAGGCCGAATTGAAAAAAATTCTTGTAATATTCAAGCATGTTGTCATAAGGGTAAGACTGTTGTTAAACGAGAAGAATATTTTCCAATCAAATTGCTGTAAAGTTAAACGCCAACATCGATAATTTTATTTCTGATAGCCATGTCTGAAGCTGACACATTTTTTTCCTTCATTCATTTGTTATGTTGTACAATGTCTGTGCTAGTCATGCTGTCTGCGCCATTTGTTTTTGTTTGGAAAATGAGCGGGAAGAGAAATTCATACATGGCATGTGGTCGTCGACATGTATTCCACGCCTTGTGTGAAAAGCTTTCTGCATGGTAATCGTATGTATTCAGACGCCCCAATGAAGGAATGTGAATTTTACGAACTATTCGGACACTCGGATTCAAACACAGACTAAAAAAATCGTGTGGATTTTTCTTTTCTATTAGAATGAAAGTTTCAATTTAAAAAACACACATACAAAACAAAAAAACTAGAAGATTAAAATTACTCCCGCATGGCTAATGGAAAATTGTTAAGAGAATCATTTTTCCCAGACTACTATTTTCCCGATTAGCGGATCCAGATACAAGTCAATTCCCATATTTTTAACTTTAAAAAAGTTCCAAAAATTTTTGGTTTATACACTGAAATATATATGTATGACATGTTTCGAGTCAGAATCAGTCTTAATTTTAAAAAGAAGAAGAGAAAAAGAACGCCAAAGTGAAATCTAAGTGTTTTTACCACTTAAGCCAGATGTGTGAAGTATCTCGTATTTTATATGTACTTGAAAGTTAATGCTAACAGAGCTATTAAATATAATGATCTGGGATCGGAAATGTTTAGTGTTAAGTCACCTGTTTCGGAGAAATAATTGGGCGTTAATTTAATACTTAAAGATGTAATGGAAAATAAAAAGAAGTGCTATATAGGAATAATTTTAAATCTAATTTAATATCCTTATATATATATATATATATATATATATATATATATATTATATATATATATATATATATATATATATATATATATATATATATATATATATATATATATATATATATATATATATATATATATATATACGGATGTAATCTTCAAAATGTTCTATTTTCTTAAGGATTCAATTCTTTATTTGAGGTAGAGAAATAATTTTATAAACATTTTGAAATTGAAGTATAAATTGGATATTTATATAGCTAGGAATTCTCATTTTATTAAACTTGGAGAAAGATCTATCTTAATCTTTACCTGCAAAGTTCGGAAAAGCGATGGTTTGCTACATAGTTAAATTAATAATTATTTATTTCAGTAATGTTATATCTGGTATTGATGCTTAAGACGTGCTAAACAAGAAACTTGTTACTTTAAAATAAATTTCGTAAAACATTGCAATTCAATTATAACATTCTTCTCATTAAGCATATACCTTCTAACTAGGTTTATGGTTGTTCGAGTCCTGATTCTGATAAAGACTCCCCTTTAAGAAGGGTTGATTTGCATTAAATCTGTCGAGAGTCAAAGTCTTCCAATAAGCAATTTGTGGAAGTTAGGAGAGTGGGGTTCTTGCTCGGGGAGTGAATGAGTAATCGCACTATTCAGCTACTAGAAGGCCTTTCGGTGCAGGGCCTCGTAATTTTGAATCATGGTCAAGTGAACAGGACTACACCTGAGTTGGCACCCTCCCTCTTCCTAACTACCACACCACACCAACGAGAGGATGCTTGAGCACTCGACAGTACAATAAATTGTCATCGTTCTTAAAGAATTGTTTTGCTCTTTGAGACAAAAAGTATAAAATCCTCGAGCCCCGATCTACGTAATAATATTTATTTCCGTTCATATCATGTGCAAATGCTTATACAACGTGAAAAAGATTGAGAAATTTTAACACATATACTAAAAACATCAAGAAAAACCTTGTTTACTTTTTGAATATAAATAATTACTATAAAAAAACGACAGCACTCGAAATGATAATTAATTTGAGATAAAACCAGAGTACAAACTGATAAAGAAAAGATATCATTACAAAAAAGCTTGAAAGCGCAGTTAGAGAGGGGTATAGCTCAGCGGTAGAGCATTCGACTGCTGATCGAGAGGTCCCCGGTTAAAATCGAGAGGTTCCCGGGTGCCCCCTTGTATATTATTTAAAAAAATAATTTTTCTCTTGACACATACATATTAAGCCAATGGGGATTTTAAAAGCAAATGTAGAAAATATTTGTCCGCACATATTTAAACCATTCACTGCCGACTACGAGATATCTCGTAGTATGTGCTGCAATTTTAGATGTGGATTACATATCTCCATTTGAGTTAGGAATTATTAGAAAGGATGAATAAAAAATTTATATAGTTCAAAAAATATATTAAAGTATTCGACTACGTTTGGAACCATGATTTTGCAAAAGCGTATAATTGGATAATATTTATGATATTTAGGGTCACTTAGATTAGAAAATGTATATAAAATTGTTTTAAGAATAGTATTACAATAAAAAATTATTTGAGTACAATATGTTGACAAAAAATGAACATAGAATGACCCATTTTCAAGATATTCTCCTTTTGTGAAAAATGCTTCTATTATAATAATATTTTGCCTGTATATAGCTCAGATCTCTGTACAGAGGCTCAACTAATTTTTGAAATATATAACTTAGAATGGTTTATCCATGTTTTACGACAACACAGGGGAGAAATTTTAAAAAAAACGCCGATAATTATTTCAATTGGTTGTAATTCTGAAAATAATGTGAATTTTTCAAAAGAAAAAAAAAATAGTTCAGATTCTCTGGAGAAGTCTTTACTTTATAAAAGCACACACACACACACAAAATATTATTAATTTAGAAGCATTTTTTTATAAAAGGAGAACATTTTGAAAAAAGGTTATTCTAGTTAACTTTTTGCCAAAATATTGTATTTAAATAATTTTTTTTTTGTCAAAATGTCCTTAAAACGATTTTATACATGTATTCTAAACTAAGTGACACGAAATATCACGAAAATTAGCCGTTTATACGCTGTTTTAAAATCACGGTTCCGAACGTAGTCGGATTCCTTTTTATTATTAGAATTATTTCTCAGATGTGATTATATTATAACCTAATAATTACATATAAATGAATGTATTCCAAAAATTGAAAAAATATTTTAGTTGTTGCTACTGTGTATTATGAGCTTTAAAGCAAGAATCAACGTAAAATACTGGGTTGTTGGGATATTTTACAAAAAAAT